AGACCGATTTTTTTTAGTTGCTTTTCTTTCCTTAAACTTTTGTGAAGTAAAAAATCCGCATTTTTTTGAAGAAAAATCTCAATAGTGATTGGATCTTCATAAAATTTTGGGCATTTAAATTGTAATGGAAGTATCTGTCATACCCCCCCCTGTCAATTTGTTGAAAAAAATGGAAGACTTGGGGTTGATTTGGACTCTAATTTTTTTGCGTTCTTGATGGTTTTGGCTCGATTTTAGGGTTTATTAAGAAAACAAAATTCAATAAAAATGATGTTTTTTAAATGTTATATATTTTTGGTGAGTTTGTTGGATTTTTTTTAATGTTATATTTTTTTATATAAAATATGTTTTTTGTGATGAACATGAGGAAAAAATTTCTTTGCTTTTAATGTTATATATTTTTAGTGAGCTTGTTGGATTTCTTTTAATGTTATATATATTTTTTATAAAAATATGTTTTTTGTGATGAATGTGAGAAAATAATATATATATATATTTTCTTTTTTAATGTTATATATATTTTTTATAAAAATATGTTTTTTGTGTTGAATATGAGGAATATATATATATATATTCTTTCTTTTTAATGTTATATATTTTTTGTGAGCTTGTTGGATTGTTTTTAATATTGTATATTCTTTTAAAAAAATATATGTTTTTCATATTAAAGTTGCAATCTTGTATAAACTTTTTTCATCTTAATTCTACATTTTAAGTTGCATGTCTACGAAAGGCACAAATTCTGTGGCAAAACAAGTTAATTTTTTGATCAGGTTAATTCCTCATTTAAATAGCACAAGCCATGGAGGGTTCGCACTTTGCAGAGAATGTTGGGGCTCCATTGCTCGGTTTTCGAGTCGGAAGTATACACATAGAGTTGGGTATGTTTGTATTGCTCTTATCATTTTCATCTCGATGATCAGGAAGATTCAATTGAGATTGGCTCGAGAGGAAGTCCAGGCATCGAGGTGTAGCAGTTACTCGACAAGGGGGAGACAAAGCCGTAGCCGTCACCGTAACCTGGTTATTCATGATGATGATAATATTGAAGCTACTGAGGGTCATAACATAGAACAGAGTGGAGGTAACACAGAACAGGGTGGGAGAGAGCACAAAAGATGGATGAATCTAGGAGACTTTGGCCAAGGAGTAACACGGGAAATGTTCATGACTAGCAAGGGGGCACAACTATGGCATTACAGACTCCACCAGGCCTTACTCAAGTTTTTCGCCCCGTAAATCTTGATAGTGAAACACAATAGTACTATGAACCTCCTTGCCATTCTCAATACTACTAGCCATTATTAGTTGAACTTTGTAACTTCATTAATTGAATTAATGTCAAATTATAAATTGTCTAGCATATCTCCATAGTATTCAAATATTAATTTATAAAAAAAGTTATTTTAAATTTTTTTGGTAAGATAAATGTATGTAATATGATAGTATACACTTAATCTAAGTTTTTCTATTTTTTATTTTTATTTTTTATTTTTTTGGCGGTTTTTCTATCCATTTAAAAAAAAATCTACTTGATAGGTTAGTCTAGTTAACCGCACTAGTTAGTCCGGTTCCGGTTCAAACCTCTCATAGCCCCTTGACCGGTTAACCATTCCGGTTAGATTTTGCGAACACTGGTACTCACATTATAGAATAATTTATCATTGTACTCAACAATTTTGGACACTTCTATATCATTGTTTCGTACATTGATCATTTTTTTAATACGAGTATTTTTTGTCATTAGGAAAGGTGTAGTGTCATCCACATGAAGCATGACATTACTCACATCTAGTACACTAGTGGCATTTAATGCTCCATGTGGGTGATGTCACGCCTCATGCAGGTCATGTTACACCTTTCTTAGTGACCAAAAATACCTTACAAAAAAATACTATATGTACGAAACAATGGTATATATGTGTGTTATATTGCTAAAAGGGAGTAGTTTATTTAGGAAAGGGGATGGGGTCGTGGTGGTCGTATTCCCACACCCAGTTAACACATCGTGGTCTCCATTCCTATCGCTGGCACCCATAATTAACGCCTTCAAAATGTAAGTTCTTGATCTATTGACAAAAACGGGTAGGGGCATGTCTTCTCCATTGAATTAACCTAAAAAAAAAAACAAAAAAGAAAGGAGAAGTTTATTTGGGATTTTATAAATTGAGATTATAAAGTTCGAGAATTTTTTGTGAACTTTGAGCATGGTCAATGAAATAAATGCAGTCACCTAATTTCTAATTTAATGGTCAAGATTAATTGCGACCACCTTGTATCAAAGGTAAATGGCCTCCTTATATACTGTACCAAATTCTTTATATACTTTTCCAATTTATAAGACGTCCATTTTATACCATTCAAGTAAGGTGCACCTAAAAAGCCTTCTAGAAACTACAAAAAAAAAGAAAAAAAAAAAAGAAAAGAAACGGTAGAAGAGAGTGTTTGGATATTGGAAAACCTTTGATCATTTGGAGCTCATGACTTGTGGATAGGAAGAATATAAATTTTAAATTTTAAAAATAATACATCTTATAACAAGTTATTTGTAATTTTTCTCATCCGTTTCACATTTTAATTTATTTATTTTTTCTAATTTCCGACCACTTCTTCAAAAAGTCTTTAACGATGGTCATTTCTCATCGACCTGCAATATCTATACCTCCATTTTTTTGAGTCGAAGCCCTAATTTTATGAAATAAAAAATTTAAAAAATCTGAGACTTTTCTTGATTTGGAGCTCGAATCGGATATGAGTTTCTAACAAAGAGATTCTTGGGGATTTCGGTCGTAACTGTTTAAGGCATGATAAGGATATGTATTTGCCCAATTTTCTTTCAATTTGTACAACTTCTAATTTTTTCTTTCTCGTTTTTTATCTTTGACAAGAATACTATGGACTTTTTTTAAATAATTTATATTTGGATGAAAGCAGGGGTTATTTAGTAGATGATATGTTGATCAACCGCTAGAATTTGCATTTTTTATATTTTTATTTATTTATTTCAGCTGTATTTTGGTAATATGTATTTTTCCTATTGAGAAATTTAAAAAAAGGTCGAGCCATCGCACTGGTTCTTTGTCAAAGATATGGACCGGTCAGAATTAGGGGTGGCAATGGACTTGGACCCGACCCGAGACCTGCTGGATATACCCGACACGGGTTGGGTATGGGTCCAGCATTTAGACCTGACGGGTAGGGTTCGGGTCAAATCTTGGACCCTAACACTATTCAGGTCCATAAACCATTGGCGATAAAACATTTTACATTAATCTTTATTCGTTTGGGTGCATTAAGGATTGTATACAATAAGAAATCGTAGTCATCTTTAGCCATTAAATGACAAATCAGACGGTTTGAAATCTAATGGCTGATGTTTGTGACATTGTTGCCAATAATATGGGTATATAATGATAAAAAAAAAAAGTAAAAAAAAAAAACCTCATAATGAGAGTGGGAATGGACCCGAAACCTGACGAGGTAGAACTAGGACCGACGAGTATGGGTATGGGTCCAATTTTTGGACTCGATGGATTGGGTCTGGATCCAAAACTTAAACCTGAATACTATTTGGAACTAGATCCGGGTCCAACCAGACCCAACCTATACCCGACCCGCTGCCACCCAGTTAGAATCGTCTAGTTCATGGAGAACCGGCCAATTCCCATTATATTATGAGATCCAGATTGGGCCGACTGATGGTCGATCCAAATCGGTTGGTTCCATACCACCGGTTTTCTAAATGCTACTCCATAGTGTAGAGGGAGGAGTTGAAAGATTAGTTGGAGAAATGCTGATATTATTTTGAGAGATGGAGAGGGACTTTAATGCTAGCCGCAGTGGAAAAGGGCTTTTTGCATTGAGGTTGGAAGTGGTTTTGGTCTTTGCAGTAAAAGTCGGACTTTTCCACCTCGATGCCTTTTTAGTATTTCATTCATACTAAACCAACCCCTTATTAAACTCACCCGCTATTTAAAGAATTGGATGGAGGCCCTTTATATAAAAAAATAGTTAATTAAGGAAATAGATCGCACATTCCCATATCTATCATGTAAAATAAAGTGATCAAATCTCATCGATGTATTTTATTCTGTATAAGAGAAAAAGAACCAAGCGCTCGTGCAATTCGAACATTTCTTTTATTCCTGTCGTAACGTGGATGCCGCTATGTTGTTAATTAGAATAAACCCATCATTAGTGAGATGCGTGATAGCATTGGGAGAGAGAGGGACGTGATGGTCTTAACTAGGAAAAGTATTACAAATATACTTTAATTTTTATTTATTTCAAAAATATATATTTAACTTTCATAACCTTTATCTATATTTTTTTTTTTTCTGTTCAAAATAACCTTCACGAGAATCGTATTACCGTGAAGCACAATTACGGTACTTAAAGTACTGTAAAAACTAAAATGTTATACGGCATTTTAAGTACTTATATTATATGGTATTCGAAATGCCTTAAACATTTTTTTACTGTTTATATTTATATCTTTCATCATGTTTTTATTTATCTTTTTCATCTCTCTAATTTTTTTACGCTCATCTCTTTGTTCTCTCTAATTTTTTTTAATATTTATTTTTTTATCTCTTTAGTTTTTTTTAATATTTACCTCTTTTCTCTCTCTCTAATTCTTTTTTGTATATTCTCTCTCTTTAAATCTTTTATCTCTCTAGCTCTCTTTTGCTCTCCAAAGAGATTTGTATAACAACCTATGCGAACTTTACTATCCCCTATAAAAACTCCCTTCAATCTTATCCTCCATGAAAATTAGACGGAGTCAAATTTGTATCACGTGAATTAGTTTTTATGTAATTAAAGTACCGTAATTGGATTCGACTACCAAAGTTATTTTAATAAAACAAAAAAACTCCAAATTTGTTAAAAAAAAAATAAAAATAAAAAAAAATGTATGGCCAGGAAGAAAGGAACTCGTGAAGAGATAGTTTGCAGTTGAGTAACATGCAATGTTTTATGTTTCTATGTGATATTTTCTCTCTCTCTCTCTAAAGGTCGAGTGAGAAAGAGAGAGACACGGTCAGTTCGGCCGTAGAATGAGAAAAAGAATCAGCTCCTATACCATGAGAGATCCGCGCTGTCCACGCCAATAGACCGATAAGAACGAAATGGATCAGTCGCCCCTCAACACGCAGCCCTCGTGTCGCCGCCCCACAACCGTTTCAAACCCATTAACTCCCTCTCTCTGTAACCAGAGGCGTTTTCTCTCTCTAAAATGGCGTTGATAGGAGGAACAAGGAGGATCAGAAGAGAGAGAAGAAGAAGATGGTAAGGAAGTCGATGGGGAAATTACTGGTTGCCATGGATTTCAACTGGCGACTCGTTCTCTTCGTCCTCATGCCCCTTTTCCTCTTCCTCATCCTCCTCTACTCATTCTCTCTCTCTAACGCCAACAATCCATTCTTTCTCTCTCTAAAACGTAACCCCTCATGGAACCCCAAGGGCGCCCAGAACCACCCTCCGCCGGTGCCAAGAGAGAAGAGCGAGAAGATGAGTGAGAAAGAAGAGAAGAAGAAGAGAGAGATAGGGAGAATCGCGATCTGCTTGGTGGGTGGAGCGAGAAGGTTCGAATTGACGGGTCCTTCTCTTTTACAGAGAGTGATTGGGGTTTACAGAGAGAATTCAGATATTTTTGTGCACGCCCCACTTGACAAAAACTCATACAAGCTCTCATTCCTTAGACGAGCTCCACACATTGCAGGGGTTCGAATATTTGAGCCCCAACCAATACCAGAGACCATAGAGCAAGCTCAGGTCCTCACCTCCAATGGCTCACCCAATGGAATACAGGTTCTCTCTCTCTAAATTCTCTAAGGATTACTATTTTTAGCCCCCCAATCTCCCACTTCGCTCTCTCTCTCTCTCTCTCTCTCTCTGTGGATTGCTATTTTGGGTAGCCCTGTCCGATCATTGGTTGATGGTTACCCTCGATTTCCCCATCTGTCTAAAACTGAATTCATCGGTTTTACATTTCTCTCTCTCTCTCTTCTCCCCGGGGGAGAAAATGCAGGGAGGCCGTATACCCTGTTCATGAGAGGAAAGTGGAGAATATATTCACTGGCTTTACAACTTTCTCGCGCTTACGTTCCTCCTCCATTTTCTCTCTTTAGAGAGAGAAAAGGCGTCACTGATGTTTCTGTTATCTTTTACTCGAATTTGGCCCCCGTTCTCTCTCTTCATCCCCTTCAATTTTTTTATTTCATTTTTTCCAGAGAGAGAGAATTCCATTACTCATTCTCTCACCTCCCCCTCCTTCTAGAGAGAGAAAGACTTAGGAATCACCCATTTCCCAATATCAGGACTGGTCCAATGATTGAACCTCAATTTGAGAATGTTCCCTTCTGTAATTTTTTACTTGTAGAGAGAGAGAGAGAGAATGTTTGTAGTCACCCCCATCTTTTAATTTCAATGGCAGGGCCTCTTGCAATACTTCAACCTGGTGGAGGGCTGCCTGACCATGATCGACAAGCACCAGCTCGAGAGCGGCTTCCGTTATGACTGGGTGGTGCGCACACGCCTCGACTCCTTCTGGTCCGCCCCACTCTCCCCTTCCCATTTCCTCTCCCGTAAATATGTTGTTCCCATTGGCTCCCAATTCGGAGGCCTCAACGATCGGCTCGGCATTGGTGACCTCGACACATCGCGCACTGCCCTTTCGCGCCTCTCCCTTATCCCTACGCTCTACGAAGCAGGCCTCCGAACCCTGAACTCTGAGTCCGCCTTCAAAGCCCAATTTTTGACAAAAAACATGAGTTTTGTGATGCATACATTGCCCTTCTGCATAATCAGTGATCGCAGATACTCGTTCCCTCCCGCAAGATACGGCGTGCCTGTGGCGGCAATCGGGAGCAAGCGGCCATTGAGTGGAGCCAAGTGTAGGCCCTGTAAGCCAGTTTGTAAGGGACCGTGCGTAGGGGATATTTTGGGGAATTTAGAGAGGGGATGGAGCTGGACGGAGTGGGAGGGCGGGGGGCTGGAGCTTTGCGATGCTTCGGGAGCGTGGGAGGAGGGGTGGGAGGAGGTGTTCGATAAGGTGGCCGGGAAGTCCCTTGCGAAAGCTAGGAAGAAGATCAAGGGGTTGACAGTTGAGAGCTGCGTCGCAGATTTTGAGGCGATGAGGAGGAAGGCGGCCGATTGGGATTCACCATCAGTGGAGAGGATTTGCAGGATGGGGCTGGAATAGGTGTGAAGTAATTTGGAATTCCAGCAAGTTTTGGGGACTGATCTTCAATTTCCGGCGAAGACTCGGGCACTGATTCATTCGCTAGTTTTCGAGCACTGATCTCGAATTTCTGGTGAGTTTCCCAGCAGCAGCAACCTTGAATTTCTAGTGCTGTTTGTCAATTTCCGGTGAGTTTTGGGGACTCCGGTGACTCAGGAATGGGAGGGGAGAGTTATATTGAAGGAACTTTCAAAAAAGTTACGGTTTTGTTACTTTTGTAAATGGAGAGAGTTTAGAGATTTTATTTAGAGTGGTTCGAGGGGAGGATTAGGGGTATAAATTATCCTTAGGATTGCAGCTATATTTTTTTTCTTTTTTTTTTTTACATTTCTTGTGATTACAGCACAGCTTTAAGGTTCAAAATACAAGACTCCATCATTTACGTGGAATGAACATGGTTGACATTCTTCTCTCTGATAATTCTCTGCGTTTTGTGGGAAAATTGGTTGCTTAATCTCTGCATAAGCGTTGATTTGATTCAGGTATGCCCCTTCTTTAGAGAAAAATCTGTCTGCTTCCTTTTGATTCTTAATTAGGCAATTAACTTCAAAGTTCAATCTCCATATGTGTTTCACTTCAAAGTTCAAAGTTCTATCTGATTATTATTTTTGGCAGTCAACAAGATTAGATTTTTTTATTTTTAATGAGAAAATAACTTCAGTATTCACCTGTCTGTCTCAAGGAAGCGTATTCTTTTTTTTCTTTTCAGTGAACAAGATTAAATTATGTTTGATTTTTAATTAGACTAACTTCCAAGGTCGATACCCATGTGTCTCTCACTTTCCTTTCGAGGAATATTTTCAAATGAACAAGATTGGATTCTTCTTGTCAAAAAAAATTGGATTATGTTTGATTTTGGGTGAAAAAAAAAAAAAGATCCTCTCTCTATACTTTATTGATCCAGGAGTTCAACTATGCGAAAGAGCGAACAAACAGCATTAATGGTGAGTATATGAGAGCTCTTATTACTGTAATTCTCTAATAAATTGTAACCGATGAGGAGGAGAAGAAGGGGCGCTCGGTCCCGTAGCATGTTATTATTTAATTTGATTAAATTAAATGCACACCCCCGTCTTCATTGGTGACGTGCACTGCCCTGCCCCGTCACTTGAGTGACCAACCAGCACCATTTACTTTTCTGTCAAATTTTGGGAGGAGTACCTTTCTGTCACACCGGCTTGTCAATAGGCAAAATTGTATAAAAAACAAAAAAACTCTAGACTTTCCTTACACCACCCCCCCCCCCCCCAACTCAATTTTTTTTTTTTTTCTACTTTCTACTTAAATACCTTCCAACCAAACAAAAAATAAAAAAAAATACCTAAACTTCTCTCCAACTTACCCCAAAAGTAAACTCGAGACACCGAAATTAGTTTTATTCCTAAATCTTTAAGTTCACTAGCCTAGTGAACCATAAGACACTGAACCATTGTCTACACCCAAGCCATGGTCCAGCATAAGAATATTCCCCCAAATATCCTATCCCATTTAGTAGAGTGACATACAAATAGGCGGGAGAGAAATTATTCAAATCCATATAGACCCAAAGCCATCAAAACAAGAGAGCATGAAATGAAAAGAATCCCATTCTCCCAGACTACCGCCTTACTATTTTGGATATTATTATTTACTATAAAAAGGCGTATTTTAGTCTCATTGGGACCTTTTTAAACATGAAAAACCCTAACCCTACCCTCCCAATCTTATATCCTCTGAACCTTAGCCAACCATAGGTGACCTCAAACCCTAACGCACGAAAATACAGTAATCCCTAGAGCAAAAGAAAGTCTTTCTGGTCAAAGAAAAATATTAGATGCAAATTCTTAGGCAACATTCTTGACCGGAGTTCAAGAAACTTTCGATTAAAAAAACCGAAACGGTAAAAGGAGGAAGGACTGATCATTAGGAGCTGAGCTTGGAGGCCCGCATTTGAAGATATTTAATGCCATCACTTCCTTTTCATCATTCTTTTTTGTTATTTTTTTTATTATTTTTTTTCTTCTTTCTAGATCTTTTAAAATCCATTACTTTCTCCTTTTTTTTAAGTTTTCTTAAAGTTTTTTTTTTCTTTTTAGACCGATCTAAACTAGCCATGGCTGGCGAGTTGTGACAAAAGAGAGGCTAATTGTCACGATCCAAGAATTTAAGCACAACTATAATATCTCCCAAAATTGATCTCGACGAACACTCAAAATGAAACTGCAGTTATTTTGAAAAAAATGTTTACCATAATTTGATGAGTTTGGCTACTCAGTAAGTAATCATCATAATCCTAAAAATAATCATGGATGAAAGTTATCAATATTTCAAAAAAGGGGTCTACTAACGGAAATGCATTAACAATTTCACTTTCAAAAATGCATAATTAAGTATAATCCGAATAATAGAAATGCATATAACATTTTAACAGCTGTGTCTAATTCAAAAGATTTCACAAATTACCCTATTAGCGTCCCAAGTAGGTCACCTATATACCCCATCAGCGTCCTGATGGGTTCACTTAATCCTTATCGGCGTCCCAAATAGGTCCAATAAATTCCTGTAGGTCCACTTATACCTCACCAGCGTACCAGATGAGTCCACTTAATCCCTACTGGCATACCGGATAGGTCCACTTATACTTCACCGGCAAACCGGATGAGTCCACTTGCATACTTAAAATATTTCTAAATCTCTTTAAACATTCGAAAGCAGCAATATCATGTACTCAACATATCACTGGAATTGTTAATATGAATTTCACTGAAACCATTAATAACAATCATTTTCAATAACACTTCAAAAATAACCAGTCAAATAATTTTGGCTCAAATTTAGAAAGGTAGCAATTCGTAAAGACATTCTAGAATAATTGCCAATATAATATGTATAAAAAAAAACTCTTACAGAAATTCAAGAATACGGAATTATCACAATTTATGGGATTTCAATTTGCAAATAAACATTTCACAGACAATACTATAATCAAATGCAAAAATATCAGTTTTCAAATAATAAGGCAGACATTTGCACATGAAATTTACAATATCTAAATATTCAAAAACAACAGTAGAAAGAAATCTCACAATTTTACTAACAACAGAAATATCACATTTATTTTTAATAATTTTACAGTATCTAAAATTTTCTAACAATAGACAAGAAAATAAATAAATTTATTGATAAAAATTTACAGCATTTAAAATTTCTAACATAGATAAAATATCACAATTTTATTAAAACTATTATTTTTCAAAATAATGAGGTTGCTTGCGCATAAAATTTATCGCGCCTAAAATTCATGATAATAAGCAGAAATAATTATTTTATTTCATTTTTAAAAAGAACGGATTATTTTTCATGATAATGAAGTTACTTACCTAAAATATTTGAGAAGGAGCTTCTGATAAATATTCGGCTAGAGAGATGAGCTCACTGTGTTTGTAAGAGGGAGAGCGAGAAAGGAGTTGTTAGGCGACGACTTACCTTTCGTCCTATTTATTTTCTTTTATAAAACGCCTCCACCTCTTGTATGAGGTGTCGCGTACAAGTCTGCTTTTAATACATGAAAACCACCTCCACTAAAGGATGTGGCAAGGGAGCAAAAGTTTAAACCAGGTATAGGCTTTTGAAAATAGTGATGGTCCCTAAGGACCATCATGCTCATATGAACCATCACTTATTTAAAAGTTTCTTTTTCTTTTTTTTCTTTTTTTTTTTTGAAATTTTTAAGAGTATTACATTGTTCTCCCGTTAAAAAAATTTAGTCCTCTAAATTTATGTACCCGATTATTGAAAAAGATAGGGATATTTTTCTTTGATATCGTCTTCTCGTTTCCAAGTCGACTATTCTTTTGAATGGTACTGCCATAATATACTTATCAAAGTAATCTTCTTGTTGCGCAACACTTGTACCCTTCTATCCAGTATCAAAATTGGCTGCTCAATGAAGAATAGGTCCTTCCTGATCGGTAAAGGTTCATATTTCAAGATATGGTATGGGTCGGGCTGATATTTTCGTGGTGATGATACATGGAAGACATTATGGATGTTTGCCAATTCGGGTGGTAAGGGAAGTCTATAAGCGACACCTCCGATTCTTTCCAGGATTTCAAATGGTTCGATGTAATGTGGGCTCAGCTTTCCTTTCTTGCTGAATCTCATAATGCCCTTTATTGGTGAGATTTTTAGGAAAACTCGATCACCTTCCTCAAATTCAAGATCTCTCATTCGGTCATCGGCATAACTCTTTTGCCGACTCTGGGCTGTCCTGAGCCTTTCTCGAATTAATGCTATCTTATCTGTGGTTACCTGGACAATTTCTGGCCCCAAAAGCTTTCTTTCACCAACCTCGTCCCAACAGATGGGTAACCTGCATTTCTTTCCATACAAGGCTTCATATGGTGCCATCTGAATACTGGCTTGGAAGCTATTATTATAAGTAAATTCAATCAGGGGTAAATGGTCATCCCAGCTTCCTGTAAAGTCAATGACACAAGCCCTCAGCATATCTTCCAAGGTTTGGATGGTCCTCTCCGATTGTCCATCAGTTTGGGGGTGAAAGGCAGTGCTAAAAGTGAGTCTCGTCCCCATGGCTAACTGTAGCCTAGCCCAGAATTTAGAAGTACACCAAGTATCTTTGTCCGATACAATACTGACCGGAACTCCATGCAACCGCATTATTTCCTTAATGTACAATTGGACCAGTCGATCTAAAGTGTACGTCGTGCGAATCAGTAGAAAGTGGGCAGCTTTGGTCAGCCGGTCCATAATGACCCAAATGCTTTCATGTCCTAAATTTGGTCTAAGCAAGCCAGAGACAAAATCCATAGAGATGTGCTCCCACTTCCACTCTGGCACGGGTAAAAGCTGCAACAACCCAACGGGCCTTTGATGCTCAGCTTTTACTTGCTGGCATGTTAGGCTGTTAGACGGAAAGTGGGCAGCATTGGTCAGCCGGTCCATAATGATCCAAATGCTATCATGTCTTGAATTTGTTCTAGGCAAGCCAGAGATAAAATCCATAGAGATGTGCTCCCACTTCTACTCTGGCACGGGTAAAGGTTGCAACAACCCAGCGGGCCTTTGATGCTCAGCTTTTACTTGCTGGCATGTTAGGCTGTTAGACAGAAATAGTGCTACCTCTTTTTTCATATTATTCCACCAAAAGGTTTTCTTCAGGTTCTAATACAGTATAATACTTCCGGGATGCATCGTATGACGAGAGTGATGTGCTTCTTCCAAGATAGCTTTCTTCACACTCTCATCATTCAGAACACAAATCCGACCTTTGAATCTTAGCAAATCCTCAATATATATAGAGAATTCGTCTCTTTTTCCCAGCTTCACCTCTTCTACAATTGTTATAAACTGAGGGTCTTTCTTTTGTGCTGATCGAATCTGTTGAATTAATTGGGGTTCTGCCTTAATGTTGGCAATCATACTTACCACACCACTAATGGATGAAGTCGGATGCCAATCCACTATTTCCTCTAATAATCTCATTTCTTGGATCATTAGATGAGCTAAGATTCCCATAGATTTTCTACTTAGAGCGTCAGCCACAACGTTAGCTTTTCCTGAATGATAATGAATTGTACAATCATAATCTTTTAAGAAATCCATCCATCTTATCTGTCGCATATTTAAATCCTTCTGAGAGAAGAGGTATTTCAAGCTCTTATGATCCGTGTATATTTTGAATTGCTCACCATATAGATAATGCCTCCACCTTTTCAAAGCGAATATTATTGCAGCCAGCTCCAAGTTATGAATTGGATATTTTTTCTCATATTCTTTTAACTGTCTGGATGCATATGCCACTACTTTCCTATATTGCATTAATACGCAGCCCAAGCCTTTATGTGAAGTA